TATCGTCAGTGGTGTCCATGCTCGGCCACTTGCGGTTGAAGTTGGCGCCGACGCGCGGCGTTGGCGATGCTCAGTGGTGCGGCTATCTGGTGCGGTAGTTGTGTTTGGCGTCCCCTCCCGGCAACCTGTTGGTCCTGGTCATGCGAGCTCAGGGGTGAGCGACTCTGCCTGTCGACGGAGTAGTGTCCTCCGATCCAGGACTAGAGGGCAGGGGGCTCTCTTCGGAGGTAGAGACGGATGGCGGACCGGATGGCTTAGCTCAAGGGGGATGACGGAGCGTGACAATCCTCCTGCAGCGCGATCTACCTCGGCTCAGCCGCGACGTGTGTTGGCTCCTGTTCGCCGAGGGCTTCGATGTTCAAGCTTGTGCTTGGTGCATTCAGGTCTTGTTAGTGGCTCCTTTGGTATCTTGTATCTTTGCCGTTTTTAGTTTTTTCTCCCTTTCTTCTTCTCTTTCTTTGGGCTTGATGTGCTGCTCGCCCCAGCATTGCGATGTGTCAATGGTGGTTTGCTTTGGAATACAAAGCGGGGGAAATTCTTTTTCGATAAACTCATATTCATTACTCACCACCGAAGTTGTTCACCATTCAGGTCCATCTGGATTATTTAGACGCTAGACCCATCTGTCAATTGGTCAATCGCTTCAGTTTCTACTTTTCGGCAAAAAGAAGTTCAGAGAACAGACCGAGGGTCGTTCAAGAGACCAAGTTTGCTAGGTGTGTGTTGATCATGCTGGTGCCTTTCTCAACTGAGAACCGCTTGCTCATATAACATGGTTGGGGATAAGCAACAGTAATAAAGTTTGTAGTAGCTACTCCCTCCGTCTCATTATGTAAGACATCTTAACATTATGGGCTGGAGTGAGTATTTACTATACCAGATTAGTAATTCGAACAGTAATTTTTTTAAACTGAAATAATAATAAAGAAGGCTATATGAAACGGTCTGTATTTGGGCAAAAAAAAGAATGTTTTTTTTATTTTTTTAAGAACCTTTTTTTAGCTGAATATGAATATTCAGAGCTCGGCCCTTTGTAGAGTTCAAATGCAAAAAGAAAAACAGTTCAGTGGTCTCGGCCCAAATATTCAGAATTCGGCCCACTTCCAGTGCCCAGCTCATCTTACCAGACACAGAAGCAAATATGCGCACGCGGCGGCCCTGTGCGACGGGTCGGCACCAGCCGCCACCGGCGCGCTTCTGCCCGCGTCCGATGGCCGGAGACCAAGCACGCACACAGGTGTTCGGCGCAGGCCCGACCGGCGCAGGCCCGACCGGCGCATGCCGTGACCCCTTTCTTGCTGGTTGCCCTCTGCTTCCGGCTCCCGAGGTACGCGGGTTAAGCTCTTGTAGAAATCAGGGAGCAGCCGCTTAATTCGTCCAGCATTGTGGTACTATTTAGCATCTCTGTTTGACAATTCCCTGGACATTTCTTTAAAAAAATTCGGTTCACGTAGGTTGCTGGCAGAGGATTGCGAATTTGCGATCCTGGATCGGATTGGAGTTAGGTGACAACTATATCTGGTTACAGGGTTGATACAGTTATAGATCACAATCCTGGATTGGATTTGATTGAAGCGAAGCTTTGCACCTATCGATGAAGGGATACACGTATGTCAACCCTGATCAGTTAATTAATCTATTAACTCGCCAGTCTGCTTAATTGGTTGAATCTCAACTGTGCGTTTATTGTCTAGCAAGCAAAACAAATGATGAAATGAAAGCTATTAGTATATAAAAATTACACTGTTACATGCTTTTATACATCTCCACAGAATGAAATCACTCTTCACCCTGGAATACTTTTTGTTAACCTAATTGTGACTCACACCTACAGGAGAAGCTTGTGTTTGTTGGACGTGTTGCTAAACCTGAGTAGCAACCTTATATTAACGCACTGAACTAATGGGTTAAGCGAAATAGGACTTGACGAAATACCTTGACAAGACTAACTGATCATACAGAACCCCTACTCCAAAGAATGCACTGAAGGCAGTCACAAAGGCCACCTTGTAGTCAGTTTGTTTTGCTGACAGAATGTGATGTTCTTCTGCTGAATATGAATTGCATTTTTGAGTGAGAACAGAGCCACACAGCTTTGGGTTCCCATCGAAACTAGAATTCTGAAATGTATCAAACTGGCCTCCAGAAGGAATAGGCCCTTGTAGGTCATTGTTCGAAATGTTGAATGCTGAAAGGAAGTGCAGGCTATTCAATGCAGCTGGAATATCACCTGTGAGATTGTTGTTGGACAAGTCTAGCACCTGCAAGTTTGTGAGGCTGCAAATCGCTTGTGGGATCTGCCCGGATAACTTGTTAAAACTGAAATCAACTACACCAAGCACTTCCAACTGACCAATCTGTGGGGGAATCACACCTGTGAAGTTGTTGTTGCTTAGATTCAACGTGTTTGGGAAAGATGTAACCACACGGTATTGAAGTGATGGACCTTTATAAAGAGGCAGCTCAAAAAGCCTCGGGTCCAGATGAGTCGCGTTTCCAATTGATTTTAGCCTTGGCATCTCCATCAAGGTTAATGGAATTTCTCCTATAAGATTGTTATTTGACACATCCATAAAGAAGAGAAATCTCAGGGAGTTGATCCAGCTAGGTATTGGCCCAGTGAGTTGATTGCTATTTAAAACTAACATCTCCAAATTCGTGAGCCTTAATATCCATAGAGGTATTTCTCCCGACAACTGGCAATTTTTCATGTCTAAAACCTGGAGATTTTCAAAGCCATCAATGCTGTCATCCTCTGGCATGAGCTCTCCCTTGAAGTTATCATCGATAAGCAGACTGGTAATGTTCCTGCAGCTCTTAAGGATCTGAAGCGTATTTGTGATGTTTGTGAAATTGTTTTTACCAAGTGATAGGAAGGAGAGGGACTTCAGATTGCTTATTTGTGGTGAAAGCTGCCCATGTAACTTGTTGCCATCTAGCCGCAGTGCAATCAGATTGCTGCAAGAGTAAATGCTTTCTGGAACTGTGCCAGTGAAGTTGTTGTTCATAAGGTCTAATGTTTTCAGAGTGGGAAGGTTGGAGAAATTGACCCTGGCGAGCTGTCCACTGAAATTGTTATTCTTGAGGTCAATCACTACGAGATTCATGCAGTTGCTTAGAGCTGATGGCAGCTCCCCTGACAATTTGTTGTTGTCCAAATGGAACTCCTCCAATTTCTTGAGCTGGCCTATGGAATCTGGAATCTCGCCACTGAAGTTGTTCCCTCCAAGATCAAGTGTTGCTAGATTTCTGAGCTTGGTTATGTGCGCACCATCAATAACTCCATTTAAATGATTATTACAAAAGGACAGGTATTCCAACGAGGTTGCATTGAAAAGTTCATCTGGAAGTGTTCCATTGAGGTTGTTGTGCCCAGCCCTGAGGTCTCTCAGCTTGGAGCAATCACCAATCCGTTGGGGAATGTTGCCACTGAATTTGTTTAAACACAGATCAAGCACCACGAAGGATGGTGAGCTGTTACAAAAATGAGTTGGCATCTGCCCTGTAAAGCTGTTATTACTTGCAATGAGTGCTATCAGATTCTCCATTGCTTTCCAAGTGGCGGATGGAAACTGTCCTGCAAATAGGTTGCTTGAGATGTTCAGTACCTGCAGTGGCCGGGCAGGGGTTGAAGATGGCAGCTCGTGGAGTGTTCCATTGAGCTGGTTAAAGCTGACATCAAGGACGGTGATGCTGCTGGACGACACCAATTCCAGTGGCAGACCACCAGACAGCGAGTTGTGAGAGAGGTTAAGGTACTGCAGCCCGGTGAGGTTTCCAAGGGACTCCGAGATGTGCCCCTCTAGGCCTTCTGAAGCCAGCATGACACTGGTGATCATGCTATCTTGCCTGCAGGTGATCCCTCTCCACGTGCAGCAATCCATGCCATCCTGCCATGAGGCAGCGAGGCCACCGTCACTCGACAGCCCAGCAAGGAACTGGAGAAGGGAGGTCTTCTCATGCTCCGTGCAGGAACTTGTGGGAGAGGCCAATGAGATTAGCAGCACAAGAGCGAGGCCGAGGGGAGGTATGTACAATTTGTTGTTGTGTGTCTTGTTTGAAAATTGGTGTGGCTTCATGGTTTCTGATGAAACTAGCATGGAAGCCAGATCCTCAAGTTATGCACTGGCTAGGTAAGGCATCAATGGTCTTATGGAGAAATAGCACGAGATGAACAAAGAAGTGGCTCTTGCTCGGTTTATATGTTTTTGCCCCTTGCAGCCATAGTCGTTACAAAGGAGTTTGGGTCAAGGATTCCGTTGCTGTTGTTTTCGATTGTACTGTCTTGGCGCCTCCACTTGTGCATTATTACGGACCTTGGACTGGGATTTGTGGTTGCCATGGAACCGATCTGGGTGGGACTCGGTATCGCGTGAGGACTGAGGAATAGTAGTGACAGGCTGATTGGTGACTTGGTGTGATGCTTATGTGGACGGTTGGACATGGTCTGTCGAACAGAATCCGGTTGTGATTCGGGGATTGATGATCTAGCTGAATAGTATTATATCCAGTTTTGATGATCTTTACTGTATGTGTAGCTGCACGCCGACTCCTTCGTAGTCTCTGTACGAGTATTTGTCATTGACCATCATTGTAGACGTGTTTGCATTTAACCAATATATGTTCACTTCACTTTGCTACAGATAATTTGAACGCAGTTTGCTCCAGCTGTACCGTCTTGCTCGGCCCCAGGACGTCAAGTCACCGGCTTGGCAACACAGACTACGAGCTCTGCCAAGTGATCGAGAACGGTGTGTGACACGGGTATGCCCAGCTCGTGCTCGAGCGTCCTGAGCACGGAGCGACTTACAGATCATCGCGGGTGCAGCTGCCGTCAGAGTCAGAGGCCATGGCGGGGCCTTGGAGTACTGTCCCGACTCCCGACTCCCGACTTGTTCACTGCTGCATCTTTCAGGGAGGGCTCAGGAAGACCGGGTAACGTGTGAAGACTTGGAGTATTGTTGGCTTCCATGTTTCAAAACGGTGAAAACATTGTCTTTCGAAAAATAGGGAGCGGAAACCTTATCCCCTCCCTCGTCGCCCCCGCGTGCGACGGGGAGGGCATCCTCAGCCACCTCCGCCGGAACCCCTCCCTCCCTCCTCCTACTCCCTCGCCGCCGCCAGCGGGCGTGGCCGGGCGAAGCCCGGCCGCCGCCGGCTGCGGCGGGGCATTCTCGTCGCTGCGTTCGCGGGGGATGGCGCGGGCCGTCGCTCCCGAACCTGGCTGTGGTGCTGCTGCAGGGCGCCGCGGCGCGGCGTCGCGCCGGCGCAGGTGATGGCGCGCGGGCGCGGGTGCTGCGCGTCGGGCTGCGAGGCGCTGGTGCTCGCTGGTGATGGTGGTTCTGGTCGGCGCGGCCAGATCCGGCCCTGGGCGGCGCGGGCGGTGGCGAGTGGCGGCTGCGGGTGCAACTGGGGGTCTGGGCGCCTCAGCTGGTCTCCGGTCAGATCCTCTCGGGTCTAGCCTTGGTCAACGATGGGTGGCTCGGGGGGATGGCAGCAACCTTCTAGGTTGCTGCATCGATGTGGGCCGCGACGGCGTGGTGGCGGTCCACGGTGGTGGTGCGAGGCGGTTCGCGGCTGCGGCAAGACAGGCTCCGGCGTCTGGCTGTTGGCGAGCTGCTCGTGTGGATGCCCCTGGGTCCTCTAGCGGCGGCAAGATGTGGTCTTTCCGGCGCCTCGCATCGTTGGCCGAGTGTACGGTTCCTATCAGATGCCGATGCAGTCCGGGAGCCAAGGTTGGGCGTTGCAGGGGGCGACGTTCGAGAGGTGACGGGAGTGATGGGTGGAGCCGATGCAGTTGGGCCGCCCGTCACCGGCAGGGGTGCCAGACGTCGACTTGGTCCGCTCCCGCTTCACCTCTTCTCCGACTTGCTTGCTCTCTGATCGATCTGGTCGGTTCAATCGCTTCGGCCTTCTTGGCGGTCGGAGCTTGTCGGTTGGTACATATCTTGCAGCCATGGAGGGCCTATGGTGCGTCTTGTTTCCTAGGCGGCGGCCTGGGTGGTGGGAGCTGTGGTGCTTGTGGGCTGAGCCTGCTGCTCAGGTGCGGGCGGTTAGCGACCATGGCCGTGTGGGCGACGTGGTGGCTGGCGTTGTGGTGATCTGTGGTGGGGAAGTTGGAGTTTGTTGCCGGGGCAAAAACCCTGTCTGGCTTGGCCAGGCCGACGGAGGCGGCGCCCGCGGACGTCGTTATCTTCCTAAAGTCTTCGTTGTGGTTACTCCTCTCTCCTCGTCGTGCTCCAGATGAAAATCTAGATCTTTGGATCGGGCTGTGGCGGCGCTTTAGTGTCGTGTCCTTCTTGAAGGCACTGTCTTGGAGCTCTCAGTTCGTCGTCATTCAACTTCACCTTTTCATGTGTTCTTCGGGAAGAGCTTCGATGGCTCTTCGGTGTCTACCTCATGTTGTTCGGGGTGGTGTTGTTGTAGGCCTTTGGCACCTATGTATCCGGCCTTGGGTGAGTGTGTTGGTGTGTTGTGTTGTTGGTTGTCTCGATTGGTTGTGGATTGGTGCTTTATATATAAAGCGGGGCGAAAGCCTTTTTCAAAAAAACGATGATTGGTAGGGGAGCGCGGAACCAGGTTGCTGAGGATGCTGCTTTCAATTTGTTTAGTCCCACCTCGTCCGCGCAGGCAGCTAAGTCGGTCGAAAGTATCATCATTATTCTGTTTGGGGGCACAGAATAAAATCATTGTCTTCTACTAGTGCATAGAGTTTAAAGGGGTGTGTATCTATATCTATATCTATACCTATTATTAAAGGGAATCTAAAATCTAAAAAGTGCATACGTATTATTTGGTTGAATGGAGCGGCCGCGTCTCACATGCATGTGGCTGTTAATTTTTTTGTCTTCTAATGCATGTGGCAGTTAGCATTAAATGCGTTCATACTAATTACTCCATTCCAAACAGAACAGATCCACGCATATTCATTTCGGAGTTTTCCCTTTCCCCTCTTACATTCTTCTGTTTCGTCGAGCCTTCCACAGCTGGTTTTCCATGTGCCGTCCATCCCACGCGCGATTAGTTATGTCCAGTCAAGGAAAGAACCGCTAAAATAGGAAACCTCCTTGTACGCACAATAAATCCGTGATTCTCTCCCTCCTCCCGGTCCTAACCCTAGCCGCCCTTCTCCGTTGCCGACGCTAGCGAGTAGCGCGTAGCGCATGCACCAATTTCTAGACACGGCGCTCCCCTCGACTTCACAGTGAAGCAGATCATCGGCATCGACAACGAGCCAGTGCGTTTGGCGTTGTCTCCTCTCTCTCGTGCATGGACCAACTTGGATGGAGGGCGGTGGATCCGGGACGTGACCATGAAGCAGCTCATCCAGTGGCGGAGCGTAGTGGGGATAATTACGAGCCCTGGCCCCCCCTTCCAAGAGGAAAATTTACCAAATACACTTACTTATCTACTAATTGCTCTACTAATCGTCCGGCGTCTCTGATCATCCTAGCCTTTTCTATGCCATATACACTCCTTTGGCCCCTTCTAATATTTGATTCACGCTCCGCCACTGAGCTCATCGGCAACGACGTGCGCCCGGGTCGATCTGGACGGTGGGCGATGGATCCGGGATGTAGCGGCTTCCTTGACTTCTTCCACGGCGGCGGCGGCCAGGTCTGGTTTAGTTATCAGTTATCGTTAATTCACGCCACGAACTCATTATCTGAAAACTGGAATCTCGCTTTCGGTTTAGTGCACTTGGATCACTTTGAAGCAAACTGTGCGCATAGTACTGAACTGGGAGGTGCTGGGAGGCTGATGCTTCAGATGAAACTGGCATCGAGGTGAGTAAACACATGCTTACCTACTTTATTCTCTTACTATGAACTTGATTAGCACTTCTTAGAAACATGGTGGATGTGATATACGAGTATTTGAATAAACATGCTGTGCAATATATTCATTAGACAATATGGAAATACGTTCGTATGTCCTCTGATCCTTAGGGTTTCTTTGACTTTGTAACACTCAATCTGCTATGCGTGAAGAGGAGAAGGCAGAGGACTAGGAACAGAGAAGGGGATAAGGGAATTCAGACTTTGCTATTTCTGTACTGACGAAACACTTACAGGCATGGGTGTTTAACTGTTTATACAAAGCCATACACCACACACACCTCGCCTCAGGCACACCACAGCAACACCCAACAACCACACACACAAGTACAGGAATGAGTATGTGTCATAGTTTCCATTATAAATTGATTAATAGATGTTGTTGCAACACAAGGATTGGAAGCTGCATGTGTTATGTCCATTACTTTTGGGATTTGGTATGTGTACTGATTAATTTCCAATGCAGGTAAGATTGATGGTTGCCCTTCTGAAAATTGTTGGGATCGGAGATCTAACAACTGTAGATGTAGTGAATGTTAATGCTTATTGTGATATGTCGGGTATTTAGTGTTGCATGATTTATGTATTGAAGCTTGCATGAGGATTGGTAATATGAACTTTATATGCAAAAAATGGTTTACACTAATTTAGCTAAGCCAAATCTTCAGTCCTAAAGCAACTTTATGGTAGTGTGTGGTGTTGATAGCCCATATACCCATGTGTCCATGTACAAATGCATTTCCCTGTTTTCTTATGGTAATTTATAATAGTATAGACAAAATTTGATTTTTCCAAAAGGTATGCTTGTTACTGGAATCTTATTAACATCCCTTTCTAATAGATCAAGATCTCAAAATATGCAATGGTTAGTATGGTTGTTAGCGGCTTATGAAGTTTTAGTAATACAAGGTTTATGTTAACTAATTACACATTTCCTTTAGAAAGGAATTATATTGTTTTTTCTGTTTGCTTGTGTTAAGCAGTTAAGCCGCATATGAAAATCCATACACATTTCCTTTAGAAAGGAATTATATTGTTTTTCCTGTTTGCTTGTGTTAAGCAGTTAAGCCGCATATGAAAATCCATACATTTGCTTCCTCTCTCTTTAGGAGGAGCTTTTCGAATCAAGGAATAAATGAAGAGTGGAACATGACCCAAGTCACAGTGGAACATGTCTTCTCATCATTTGTTCAGAAATACGTATAGTCGGAGGATTACTTTTGTGAGTTTGGTGGAAGGAATTGCATTTCTTACTGCGGTGA